CTCGTGAATAAAATTACTTCGGAAATTTGCGTTGTTATTTTTGTTTGCTTAAAACAATTTTTTTTATCGCGGTTGCTGAGCGACAGTGCCCAATGCACACCCCCCCCGCCCCCCCCCCCCCCCCCCAAAAAAAAAAAAACCCGCCAAGCGGTCAGCAACAAACAGCTCTGTTAAGGCTGTGACAGATAAGAATAAGCACATTTTTCATTTTAGCCGGAGCGATAGTTTTCCTGCACACCGTAAAAAGAAAAAAACCTTAGGTGCCGACAACCCCCCCCCCCCCCCCCTAAAATCTAAAAGCAAAACCCTGCATGAAAACTCCCCGGTTGCTGCTAACATAGCCCGGACTTTGAGAGCCACCATAGATAGACAGCCTTGATAGCGGGCATTTCCTGGCAATTTGATGTCTACCTCGCAACGTGGGATTAGCCCTTGAACGTAATGCACTCGGTGTGACCCCGGGTGGTTTCGGAGTTATCGTAGCCACACAGGCGCTGGTTTTCGTCGCAGCACAACAACCCGGCATATATTACACGCCGAGTAAACGCGACTGCCAGATGCATGGGCAATGTCAATATGCAACGTTAATGATCGGCAATAAAAACAAAGACTTCAGCCTTAAGGTACTGTTGGGGCAAGTGCCGTTAGCGAATACCTATGAAGGCCGGCACCGCACACGTAGGGGTGGGTGGCCAGCACCACGCCCAGCCGCCTTTGTCTCCCCAGTGGCGATGTTTTAGACACCGCACCAGGTACTCATTTGAGGCTGAGTCGACCTAGGGGAGGCCAATGACCGGTTCACATAGCGTCACCGGTGTTGGCCGTGAGCGGAAATCGAGCTCGGGTCGCCGGGATTACATCGCAGAGTGCTAACCGCTGTCGCATCACTCGCCCAATGTGCAATGCATGTCAAACGCTGGCAGCCTGAATCTCAGTACGTGGGGTAATTCCGCGGCAGTCGTTTATTTACAACTCGGCGCTTTGTCTATAACAACAACAACAAAACCCAAATCTGCCGCCAGAGAGCGAATGGCAAGCACGAAGTGGCATTTCGAATTGCTCGTTGTTATAGCGGCGAAAATAAACGGAGACTCGGACGCGCCCGAGAAACCTTTCAAGTCTGGGGTGGGGCGGGCCGGTGTGGGTCAGGGCAGCCGCACCCTGCCCACGCTCCCATCCCGGCCTCCCGACGGGACACCGGCACAACCCGCCCTGCTACACCCGAGCCGAGACATTCGGCGAGAGACAAACGCGTACGGCGCCGCGGTGGCGCGATGTTAACTACATCGCTGGGAATTCAGGGAGGCGGCGAGGTTCGATCCACGACCCCTGACGCGTGCTGTATGTTTGGAGTTTGCGCGTCTCTCTGTCCGTGGTCCGTGCGGATTTTTCTCAGGGTCCTCCGGTTTTTTTCCCCTCCAAATTTGGAAACAGCATGCGTTTAGAGTATTTGGCTGCTATACATTTCCACGTGATAAGCCACTTCATTGAGTTATCATTTATGGCCAGGTCGCTTATGAAAAAGAGCTCAAAGGGCCTTACCTAATAAAAAGTAAAAAAAAAGTAAAATAGGCTGTCGCGGTCGCGCGTTGCAGCTCTTCGGTGTATTTTTCGAGGTTGTACCGAGCGCTGTTCGGCAGGATCTCCGACGTTTCGCTCCGTGTGCTGCGAGTTTCTTAAGAACGCGGAGCAAAACGTCGGACATCACGCCAAACAACGCGCGGCACAACCCGAAAAGACATCGGGGAGCGATTCTTCACCGTTGCTTATTTGTTCATTTGCTTGTTTGTCTGCCTGTCTTTTCGCCACTTTTATCCCAATCGTGCTACCGACGTCAAGAGAAGAGAACAAGGTACCCAATCAGATATCTCGCATTGTTGTGCAATCCTCCACGGTAGAGAAAAGCCGGTAGCACGATTGGGAAGTGACCTTTGGTCCACACAAGAAGAGGCATCACTTTCCCTACTTGCCCTGCCACAGAGAGTAATTTTCGTTCTGTGTTTAATTATCAGACCTTGTTTTTTTTGGCAAAATAAGTCAAAATACAATTTTAATTTAGTCTTTTTTGGGGGGGGGAAGCCAATGGTAATCTGGCTGCGACCATCAACTGACTATCCGGGTTTGAACACAACCCGGATTCAAACATCAGTATCAGTGGTTGCGAGCACAAGTACTCTGACCTCTGAGCCACCCGTTACCTCTCTTCATAATCGTTTCAAATGCAATCGGTAGACGTGGTGGCGTTTGATTCAGAATGCTGGCCCAAGAGATTCGTAATGGTCCAGGAAGCTCATAATGCAAAGTAATGAGCAGGCAACACTCTTGGGTTTGGGATAGCCACCCTCAATTAAACTAATAATAATGCCAATTATTTATCCTGAAAACCCTCGCTAAGACCCACGACTCTGTTTCGGTCTAGTCCCACATTGGGATGTTTAATTTTAATTATAAGCTTTCGTGACTGCAGTAATTCATATTTTTAGCTCTTTCGGTAAAGTCACGTTGAAGGGAAACAATAAAATAATAAAATATATTATATATTTTATTATTTTATGTTTGTTCAATGCGATTAATGAGCATTTATGACTTGGCACGGGAGGATGTTCCTGTAGACAAATGTATGTATATATATAGGGGCTAACACCAGCCATTGCATTGTACTTTCCCGCATAGCTTTAACAGACTGTTGGGGAAAGTGCTGTTAGTGAGCACCTATGTGTGTGTAGGCCGAATCACTGCATGAAGGGGTGGGCCGCCAGCACCCCGCCTTTGTCTCCCTCGTGACAATGTTGACACATCGCACCCAGGTGCCCATTGTCTCCCTCGTGACAATGTTGACACATCACACGCAGGTGCCCATTGTCTCCCTCGTGATAATGTTGACACACCGCACCCAGGTGCCCATTGTCTCCCTCGTGACAATGTGGACACATCGCACCCAGGTGCACATTGTCTCCCTCGTGACAATGTTGACACATCGCACCCAGGTGCCCATTGTCTCCCTCGTGACAATGTTGACACACCGCACCCAGGTGCCCATTGTCTTCCTCGTGACAATGTTGACACATCGCACCCAGGTGCACATTGTCTTCCTCGTGACAATGTTGACACATCGCACCCAGGTGCCCATTGTCTCCCTCGTGACAATGTGGACACATCACACCCAGGTGCCCATTGTCTCCCTCGTGACAATGTTGACACATCGCACCCAGGTGCCCATTGTCTCCCTCGTGACAATGTGGACACATCGCACCCAGGTGCCCATTGTCTCCCTCGTGACAATGTGGACACATCACACCCAGGTACCCATTGTCTCCCTCGTGACAATGTTGACACATCGCACCCCGGTGCCCATTGTCTCCTTCGTGACAATGTTGACACATCACACGCAGGTGCCCATTGTCTCCCTCGTGACAATGTGGACACATCACACCCAGGTGCCCATTGTCTCCCTCGTGACAATGTTGACACATCACACCCCGGTGCCCATTGTCTCCCTCGTGACAATGTTGACACATCGCACCCAGGTGCCCATTGTCTCCCTCGTGACAATGTGGACACATCGCACCCAGGTGCCCATTGTCTCCCTCGTGACAATGTGGACACATCGCACCCAGGTGCCCATTGTCTCCCTCGTGACAATGTTGACACATCGCACCCAGGTGCCCATTGTCTCCCTCGTGACAATGTTGACACATCGCACCCAGGTGCCCATTGTCTCCCTCGTGACAATGTTGACACATCGCACCCAGGTGCCTATTGTCTCCCTCGTGACAATGTTGACACATCGCACCCAGGTGCCCATTGTCTCCCTCGTGACAATGTTGACACATCGCACCCAGGTACCCATTGTCTCCCTCGTAACAATGTGGACACATCACACCCAGGTGCCCATTGTCTCCCTCGTGACAATGTGGACACATCACACCCAGGTGCCCATTGTCTCCCTCGTGACAATGTTGACACATCGCACCCAGGTGCCCATTGTCTCCCTCGTGACAATGTTGACACATCGCACCCAGGTGCCCATTGTCTCCCTCGTGACAATGTTGACACATCGCACCCAGGTGCCCAATCGCTGCTGAATCGACCTCGAGGAGGCACAAGACCGGTTGCGATAGTCATCAATGGTGTTGGCCGTGAGAGGGAATCGAACTCGGGCTGCCGGGTTTTTGTCGCTCGGCGTGCTGACCGCTGCGCCACCAATCCTCGCGCCACACAGCCCCACACCTACAGCAACTGACAAGCCCTCGGGGTGACGCATCCAATCCCTAACCCGGGCTCAGTAGGGGAGGCGATGTTCATGGGTGCATTTCTCAATTCAATTAAAAATTTATAACCGAAATACAATTTAGCAAATTTTGCCTTGAGGTCCAAAGCATTCATTGTCACTAAGTTCAACCAAGTAATGCCACCGTTAATCTGCATGGGGCTTAAGCTGAACTGAAGTGCTGGTTACTCAAAACCCAGATTCCCGAACCCAGGACGTCAGGGGTGCAGGCTCGTGGCTCTGACCATTGAACAACCCGGCCACGTCTGTTGAATGCATTCCAACTGCAGCTGAAAATGTTCATGCATAAGACGTCTCTGGCTGTCCATACGATGTTAACTACCTCGAATGGTATACAGGAGGTCGTGGGTTCCATCCCGACCCTGGCGCCTGCTGTATATTTGGAGTTTGCATGTTTTCTCTCCTCTCGTGGTCGCGTGTATTTTTCTCCAGGTCCTCCGGTTTTTCCCTTCGCATTTCAAAACGCCCATTGAGAGTATTTTTGGCTACTATTAATTTCCGCGCGATAAGCACACTTTGCTGAGCTATCATTTGTGATAGCCAGATCGCTTCTCAAAAAGAGCTGTATATCTCAGTGGGCCTAACCTGGTAAAATAAATATAGTTAGTTAGCATTGTCTGTCTGTAGCGGAGGCCGGCACGCTAACTATCATGAATATAATCAAATTTGAACAAAACTGGAGCGTCAAATTATATTGCTATTTGGGTGACCAAACGGCTGCTCCGCACCAACGCCTGGCAGAGCCACTATCAGCAAACCTGTCCCCTCATCAGACGTCACCGCTGTCAGCAAGACTGTCACCTCATCGGACGTCACCGCTGTCCGCAAACCTGTCACCTCATCAGACGTCACCGCTGTCCGCAAACCTGTCACCTCATCAGACGTCACCGCTGTCAGCAAACCTGTCACCTCATCGGACGTCACTGCTGTCCGCAAACCTGTCCCCTCATCAGACGTCACTTCTGTCAGCAAACCTGTCCCCTCATCAGACGTCACCGCTGTCCGCAAACCTGTCACCTCATCAGACGTCACCACTGTCCGCAAACCTGTCACCTCATCAGACGTCACCGCTGTCAGCAAACCTGTCACCTCATCAGACGTCACCGCTGTCCGCAAACCTGTCACCTCATCAGACGTCACCACTGTCCGCAAACCTGTCACCTCATCAGACGTCACCGCTGTCAGCAAACCTGTCACCTCATCAGACGTCACTGCTGTCCGCAAGACTGTCCCTTCATCAGACGTCACTTCTGTCAGCAAACCTGTCACCTCATCAGACGTCACCGCTGTCAGAAAACCTGTCACCTCATCGGACGTCACTGCTGTCAGCAAACCTGTCCCCTCATCAGACGTCACTGCTGTCCGCAAGCCTGTCCCCTCATCAGACGTCACCGCTGTCCGCAAACCTGTCACCTCATCAGACGTCACCACTGTCCGCAAACCTGTCACCTCATCAGACGTCACCGCTGTCAGCAAACCTGTCACCTCATCAGACGTCACTGCTGTCCGCAAGACTGTCCCTTCATCAGACGTCACTTCTGTCAGCAAACCTGTCACCTCATCAGACGTCACCGCTGTCAGAAAACCTGTCACCTCATCGGACGTCACTGCTGTCAGCAAACCTGTCCCCTCATCAGACGTCACTGCTGTCCGCAAGCCTGTCCCCTCATCAGACGTCACCGCTGTCCGCAAACCTGTCACCTCATCAGACGTCACCACTGTCCGCAAACCTGTCACCTCATCAGACGTCACCGCTGTCAGCAAACCTGTCACCTCATCAGACGTCACTGCTGTCCGCAAGACTGTCCCCTCATCAGACGTCACTTCTGTCAGCAAACCTGTCACCTCATCGGACGTCACTGCTGTCCGCAAACCCGTCACCTCATCAGACGTCACCGCTGTCCGCAAACCTGTCACCTCATCAGACGTCACCACTGTCCACAAACCTGTCACCTCATCAGACGTCACCGCTGTCCGCAAACCCGTCACCTCATCAGACGTCACCGCTATCCACAAACCTGTCACCTCATCGAACTTCACCGCTGTCCACAAACCTGTCACCTCATCAGACGTCACCGCTATCCACAAGACTGTCACCTCATCGAACTTCACCGCTGTCCGCATGCCTGGCGCCTGCTGCTACCTTTATCATCATAGACAAAAACATGAAGCATCCGTGAACGAGCGAGCAGTCGGACGGCGTTGCGGGATCAGCGCGTGTGCTGGATTTGTTTTTATCTCCTTCCTCCTTCTCATTGTCCAGAGCTTCACAAGTTCGCGTCCGGTAGGCCTCTTGACGCACGTAGCTTCTGTACGCATCTCCCAAGACGAGGGCGGTTGATGTTGTTGTTATTCTTGGGTCTTTCGGTAAAGTCACGTAGATAGGTTCAAAGAAAATAATAAAAAAATAACAAAAAATATTAACTGGCGCTTTCGTGACTGCTGGAATTAATCTTTGGTTCTTTTGGTAAAGTCACGTAGAAAGAGAAAATAATAAATTAAACAATATTCTTTATTAAATTTATCATGAAGAATGTTCTTTATTAAATGTATTATTTTCTCTTTCTACGTGACTTTACAAAAAAACGACGACGTTTCGATCGCAACACAAGCAATCGTCATCAGGAGAAAGAAAATAAAAAGTCAAGATCTTGTTGTTGTTGTTGTTCTCTTCTTTGTTGTGTTATTCCCTTGCAAATTGAGCACGTGCACCGACGCACAATATCTAATGAGGCGAAAGCCGCGTGGCATTGCGACTCACAGGTCATATTTGCGCTTTCGCGCGGTAAAGTCGAGGAGCACTGGACGCGCGCCGTAATGATGTCTTCTCTTGTTTTGCTTTACATAATGCTGCACCGTGCATGCGTGTGCGCGCACGCATGCATGCGTAATCAGTGCATCTGCATGCACCGGTGCGGTCACTCATACATTGTTTAGGTCACGCTTCTGTTTGTTTAAAGCACACGGTCACGGAATTATAAAAACAAAATAGCAAAAAAAAAACGGCTGCCCGATTCCTTGACAGCAGATTAAACTGAACAAGACGCACGATTGTTTGAATCCGTTTAGTCCATGGGCACGATACTAAATAGTTTATTTTATTTGAACCAACGGGGATGCCAAAACGTGACTTGTATGAACATCTTTGCCATTTAAAGTGAATTATGCAATTCTGTTCTATTCATGCGTATGTAAATATGTTCAGGAGCTGACTGCCAATATCAAGGTCTGCTAGCCACGATGAGGGGGCTTCAGCAGATAATTCGTGTTGTATTGCAATTCCTCCTCCTCTGCTGAAGGAACGCAGACCAAAATGGGTTTACTATACGAACCATTGTTTGGGTTGCATGGCCACAATTAGCACAGTGGCTTGTCTTTAATTTTTCATTTTCTGATTATGTTTATACAACAACCGTATTTAATGAGCGTATTATCACATATGCCATACACTGAAACGTGGGTATCTCTATTTGACTGTGCCACATGGCACCAACATTCTGATCTGCCACAGGGACCATTTTGGCTAATAATTTAGACAGCAAATGTTTGTTTGTAAACTGTATTTACTATTGCATATAAGTAAAATTGAATTGATGAGTCGACCATTGTTAATTGGGTTTTTTTTTATTGTAATACACTCAATCTTGCTTTGAAGCTTTCGTGACTACGCCCATTTGACGTTCATTAATTTTTTTATTCGCGGTAATTATCTCCAGTGGCTTTAAACTCGACGCAATGCGTCTCGTGTAATTCACGTCACTGGTTTGCGACGCAGTAAAAATGTCCAGAATTGCACTGTCAATTGCAAATCATAACACGACGATGATTGATGATGACAATAATAAGATCATCAGCCATGATCTATCCGCTGATGGATGAAGGCCACCGCCAACCCATCACCGCCCCTCGCGGTCTTGCCTAGCCCCTGCGCTGGAGCCGATTTCACTCCCGGCATTGTTGCAGCAGACGTCCTCTCGGGCAGAGTTCCACTCCTTGCGCGTGCGTGTGGAACTTTTTTTCGCACCGTACGCAGCCAACCGTGCTAACTGTCTGCCGCTCCATCATTGCCCTTGAACGCCATTTCATCGCCCCATCCTGTCCATTGCCACTGACGTTTCTTAACACTTCGAATTGTGTATTTTACCTGCGTATATTATCCAAGAACGCGCGTAAAACGTTCCTCTTTCCGGCGCAGCGTAATTCCAAAGCATGCATCTCTCGAGCCGTGCTTCTTGGCAACATTTTTTCAGCTTTTTTTTTTTTTTCCACTTCTGCTTTGTTTGTTTGCGAATGGCCAAGGTTGTGAAGCACACGGAGGAGACGCCTGGGCCTCGCGCTAGGCACGCGACGGTCAGTCCTGGCCGTGGACGTGCGCCGCATGAAGACAGCGCGTAATGCCACGCATTTGCGCCGGACAAAACGACCCGGGGGGCGGGGCGGGGGGGGGGGGGAGAGGGGGGGAGGGGGTTGTCACGTGTTTAAAATAACGACCACGACGACAACAACAAAACTGACAAAACACGAAACCTCGAATCATATTCTGCTAAAAAGGAACATGCACCCTCAAATGGTTATTTCGGCTTGAGACTGGCGCGCTGACCGATAAGGCCTGGCACTTCATAATTACACAACCCGCTCGCTCCTCCTACGAAATCTAAAGGTGGAGGAGAACAGAACAAAAAAGTGAGAGGCGCGCTCGTAAAGCACCGCTATTATTCGACAATTGTAGCAATTACGGCGCACGTGATTGGAACACACGCGCGCATCGACCCAATCTCACCGCGCGTCGCTTGACCCCTCGCGACACCGTGAAAGAAAAACCAAAACCCACGGAAATAATAGCCGCATTGCAATCGCAAGCCTCCCAATCTCGTGCCCTCGCAACTCGCTACAACGTTTGTGGAAAGAGTCCTTGGCGGTCGCGTGCTCGGCCAAACAGGAGCCCTGCTAAATTTTGATTTAAAGCTTTCGTGACTGCAGGGATTCATATTCTTGGTTCTTTCGATAAAGTCACGTAGAAGGGAAACAATAAAATAATAAAAAAGTATAAAACAATAAAATTATCACGACGTTTCGACTGAAACACCAGCAATCATCATCAGGTGTGAAAACCACAGCAATAATTTTTTTGCAAATTTTCTTGCTGTGGTTTTCACACCTGATGATGATTGCTTGTGTTGCAGTCGAAACGTCGCGAGAATTTTATTGTTTTATATTTTTATTATTTTATTGTTTCCCTTCTACGTGGTGACTTTACCGAAAGAACCAAGAATAGGAGCCCTGCTGTTACGGCATTCGGTAGAGCGGCTCTCGTCAGTGACGCCCCTGATGGGTTTAATGTCACCATGGACCTTGGAGACTTTGATCCTCCGCCTCCGGGGGAAGGGACCTACGGGCGCCTTGCAGAGCCCTCCGACTGCTAGAAACCAAAATCAATATCAGTCGCAAGAGGCAGTATTAACAATAATAATGACAATAATCACGCCGACTATTGAGCCAGGGAAGCTTGACCGAGTCTCCAGCCTTTTCTTTCAGGTTTCCTGCCACATTTGGGATGTTTGGCCATGAATTCCGTGAGTAACGAGAAGGAGGAAAATCAGAGGACCCAGGAGAAAACCCAGCGCCGCGCTGCTGTATAGGCGGGGAAAACACTCGGCACTGCCATCTCCGGCCACGCCTCGCGGACACGCAGCAACATCGCCGGGCAAGCTCCTATGGTCACGCATCCAAGCATGAGCCAGGTTCAATGCGCGCTTACGCAGGATAGCGTCGCTGAGTCTCAAGACTCTTTTTCAGGAGGGTCCTGCCAAGTTTTCGCAGTCGGAGGGGATGCTGATGCCGTGTGCAATCCTAATCGGGGCGACATGGTGGCGATGTGTTAACTACGTCGCCTGGTATACAGGAGAGCGTGGGTTCGATTCCGACCCTGGCGCCTGCTGCTGTATATTTGGAGTATGAATGTTTTTTTGTGTCCCCGTGGTCGCGTGGATTTTTCTCCAGGCACTCAGGAGTTTTCCCTTCGCATTTAAAAGCGTGCGTTGAGAGGATTTTGGCTGCTATTAATGTCCGCACGATAAGCACACTTTGTTGAGCTATCATTTGTGATAGCCAGGTCGCTTCTGAAAATATCTATAGGGCTTAGTGGGCCTTATCTGATCAAATAAAAAATAGTTTAGTTTCAACTGAGTCATTTTAAGCCAATGTTTCAGCATTGGTGGTCTGTGGCTCATTCAGTTTTTATGGTATTTTGTATTTGTTTTACTCTGGTAAGAAACTGGAGAACCTAGAGGAAAACAGAACAGGGTGAGCAGGGGTGGAGCCACAGGGGGGGCTGGGGGGGGGCTCAGCCTCCCTTAAAATTTTGGAAAGTCGGTAATCGGGATAACCGAATATCCGGCCGCTGCAAAATGCTGGCTGCCACCTTATGCTGCCCTGCAGGCTGCTTGAGCGGCAGCCGAACTTATCGAACTTATTAGCCACATCACTGGCTCCGACCTATTAATAAACTCCGCGTTCAAATCCAATACAATGTCTTTTATACATTTGTGGCGCTGAATATCACAGAATATTGAAGTCAGCCCCCCCCCCCCCAAAGTCAAAATCCTGGCTCCGCCCCTGAGGGTGAGAACATACCAACTCATCACAAAAATGCACCTGAGTCAGGAATCGAACCTGGGGTCTTCTTGCTGTGAGGCGAAATTTGTACCACTGCACTGCCATGCGATATCCACTGCCAGATGCTGGGATGCAGCAGAAGAGGGGTAGTCAACAGCTTTTTGCAGAGGAATCACTGCTCAAAGCATCCAGCGGTGATCAATGTCCATTGCATGGTGGGTGGGTAGACCCAATGTACGCGGCGAATCATTGCGACATGGACACAGTATGATCGAAGCACTTCCGTAGGACCAAGACACACGATACAACTTCAGTGCGATTGATGTGAGTGCCATCGGATTGGGCTGCATTGCACCCAATCGATTGCAAGCAATCGAGGTGAAATGCTATGCAAATGAGTGCAATGCAATCGAGTGCAATGTGGCCGCAAAGGACGATGGGAGTCTGGAAAAGTAGAACGCCACACATGCATATATAATAGGCGTTGTTAGTGAGCGCCTATTAAGATTGACACAGCGCTCGAGGGAATGGCGTACACGCACGGATGTTGAGCGTGATGGGTTCACGTCACTGGTGCAGCCACTGCAGCCGCTACCATTCAACCACAATGCAAACGAAATTGGGAATCTATCCTTGAATCAAATCTGGAGCCTGTGAATTGTGACAATTTGTCGATTCGAATCAGTTCCATGTCCTTCCCCGGCACCTCCGATTAGCACGGTTGGC